ATTATTTTACAGACGAGGGAACCTTTCCAACTGTCAAATCGCTTTTTCAACGAAAGCTATGCGGTTAAAGGTTATCGAATATGCTAATTCCGAATATGAGTATGAGAAATCCTCTTAGACCTTGCTTAAGTGATTTTCTAGAAGACCCGTTTTCCAGAATACTAAACACTTTATGACATGTTGTTTTTTTCTTCTGCTGAGATTATAGAGCAGATTGAATTGTCTATAAATTACCAATTTTTCCTTTTTTTTACAGGAATGAGCTCTGGAAAAATAACATAAATTTCTATATTTTTATATCTAAATGTTATAGTATGCATCCGTTATATGAATTCAAATGGCTCTATTTCTTAGAAAAACTCGATCTGAAATAGAAACAGCTATTGTCTTATAGATAATTTGATCTGCTCTATAATCTCAGCAGAAAAAAAACAACATTTCATAAAGTGTTTAGTATTCTGGAAAACTGATTTTCTAGAAAACCACCCAATCAAGTCCTAATGGGATTTCTCATACTCATATTAGGAATGAGCATAGTCGATAACATGTAACTGCGTAACTTTCGTTGAAAAAGCAATTTGACAGTTGGAAAGGTTCCCTCGTGAGATTCTGGCAGATTCGTTGAACTATGGAATTGCAAAAACTGATGTCTAAAATTTTTATCCAAGATACGTTTCATATACTTGATAATACTCTAAAAGTTTTAGCTAACAACAATATTGCTTTATCAAGATAGTGAGTATTCATGTAACTTCGGTTTATGTGCGAGGCCATTGACATATTATCAGGTTTTGAAGATCCAACATCACAGCAAAAGAACAATAAAGTTGCAGTTAATACTTTCAGGGAACTATATGAACTACCAGACTTCTTTAAGAACAAAATTGCAGACGTAAAATTCACAACACAACATTCTCGATGAATACATCTACGGATACGCACGAAATTTATCAAAGGAGTCCTAAAATTTGATCCGCAGGAGATGATCACGAACAATGGTGAATTTAGGTTTCTGGCAAAGATGAAGCGATGAGTAAAAATGAATTTGAAGGCCCATTCAATCTAGTAAAAATTAGTTTTTCGTTCATTGTTGACGTTAAAAATTCTGACTGAAGGAACGATCACTTCGTTGTCTTTCTTTCTAAAGTTGCTACTGGTCACGAGTTAGACTATGGTTTTCTTAGTTCCACTGAGTCGCACTCATAACCAGAACATGAAGTTGAGTAGCATCTTAGAGTTGAATATGTTTCTCTGTTGGTCTCGTTTTTCAATATTTTCGGTTTGAAAATATTCGTCGCTTTTCTCATTTCTAGTTTTTCCAGGCATTCATAATCACCAGATTCTCTCATAATATTTATTCATCTACTTTTTGATCGAAGGTTGAATGTTCGTTTAATTGTAAATTGTATTTTCTTTATTGTTTAAGTCAGCATCAAACGGATGCAGAACCTGAAATCCAATGTGATTGTTGAAGATCACGTTGGTTTCTAATCAAGAACGACATATTGCAAGAGGCGGCGATAAGATGGACACATTATGAAACAAATCGAACGGTAGACTAGTTGGCTTATGCGGTGTTCAATTGAACACTTAAACTGAGAGCTTTGACCCGACACAAAACGGGGATGAGTGTTGTCTTGGATGTCTCCTAGCATATTATAAGTTAGGAACATAGTGGAAATCAAATTCTCGAAATATATAGAGATACAAATCAAAATAGAAGAAGAGAGGCAATAGATATTCGCAATCATTCAGATTATTTAAGTCATAAAAATCATTATAATCATTGAAGTCTTAAAGTTAGTTGCTTCCTCCTTGCATGAGATGCTAAGGATCTTGGCTCCGCGACTGCTTTCGCTATTTCTCAATGTAAAACGAAGAAATCTCAAGTAATAATGGGATGTAAAGCAATAAACATGATGTAAAACAATAACAATTTTCAATCTTACAGATTATCTAAATCAAAAAGAGCCATGTAAAGTCATTTAAATTATTTAAAGCATGAAGTCCGTTGTTTCGTTTTGTGAATTACCCTATTCCAGAATGTTTTCTGGGCGATCGATGGTTAATTCGCTGAAATCAGGGGTCTCAGAAAAACCCTTATATTTCTTGAACCGAACAAGCTAGAAAGGTGGAGCATGCGTAGATCGAAAGAAAATTTTTCTACCAGAAATGTGAATTAACAATTGAGACAGATTGCGAAATGGTTCAAAGTATCGTGCTCAACATGTCCCTTGAAAATGCATCCGATCAGTCCATTGCTGACCACTCAGATTTTAGCGTATGTTGATGCGCCTGGATTCTCTCTTTTTAATGGTGAAAACCGCAACTCACTGCCTTGCTCGTATCAAAAGTTATTCGAAAAAACCTTCCCCTTTGTTTCGAATTCGGCACTAGTTATTTTCTATGCATATTTTGTTAAAAATCATTGTTTTTCTATCATCCTCGAAGCAAATATTGATATGTTAACATGTGAACAGATTCTAGATGAATATTGACTAACATCCTCTTTCAAATATTCTGAGTTATTGATGACTTTGAGCAACTTTCGTGATCTAAATGATCTAAGTGATCTAAATGACTTAAAGTCATAAAAGTCAGTTATTTCCCCCTTGCTGTCAGCTCATATTCTTTCTATCAAAAAAAGAAAATTAGATAACTGAATTTCATTGGATTTTCTTTATTTAGTTGTGCCAAGAGCTGTCAGGTATCATATTTAAAACAATCGAATATGTTGGTTCCGTTTTGCTCTATTAATCTCAACGATAATATACCTGAGCCTTAAAACAGAAACAGGACGTGGATGTAGGCCTCTCTTTTTTTCTTTCAATCTATAAGCACACTCTGACCGTCATCGTGGATCATTCTGTCCTTGACAAATACCCCGCGAAGTTTCAATTGCTATTTCCTTTTTGTCCTCCCTTTCTGCTTCCAACTTATCCTGTGTCATGATCAAGAAAACTAATTTACAATAAAAAAGTTAGTTTCGCATTTTATGCCAATATAGGAGTAATGGCGAAGACGATATTAGTTTCGAAATTAACTTTATTGGATTGCTTTTTTCGTATTCTAGTACTTGCTGGTCTGTTTGTCGAAGTTAAGAAATCCGTTTAACGAACATTAACAGTGAGTTTCAATGGAATCATTAACAAAGGATGGTGTATTCACACTCATCGGACGTGATGAAACTGGAAGAGAAATAAAAAAAGGTGGAGAATTTGAAGTTTATAAAATTAATTATGATACATATAGCAAACACCAAATTGCGGAAGTGGTAAACAATGTAATTCAGAATGAAAGCTTCTATATGATAGTTTCCGATCGAGATAACCTTGGTGATTTAATTCTGCAGAGGTCATTAGTGAATGATGACAAGTTCAGCGACAAAAAGTATTTGATTCGGGAAAAAAATACTTTACGCTTGGCAAATGATGCTGAGGAAAAAATAATTCTAGAGCCAAACTCAACTTCATTGGCATCCGATTTTCAAAACCTCAATTTGGACACAAAAGAAAAACAAAATACATTAACATCATCGAGCTTCACTCTTTCCACACAAACTGTCGCTTGTTTAATGGAGAAAAGCTACGGCAGAATGGCAATGGCGAATTATCGTGGAAGACGCAGATATTCGCGTCTTGTTACACAGTATTACGAGATATTTAACTTTACAAAAGTCGAGCGACATATCACAGTCAAGTTATATAGAAGCAACAATTTTGTAGGCAAATTCACAAAAGAGAAATATTACGAAGTAACACTTAAAGATTGTGGAAAGGATTTAACATTGAAAAAAGTGTTTGAAATACTACAAGTTTACAATTCCGATCCACCAGAACATCTAACAGATGGCAAAAATCGCAAATATATTGATGGAAGCATACCACTTCTTTTGAACTTAGGTATAGGTGGTACTGACGTGAAATTTGTGTTAAGTAAATACGCTCGTAAAAATAGCCAAGATTATCAGGTGCAAGTTTCTAGACTACGGGAGAACGATACGGCCGTCGGGAATACATATTCCAATTGGATTGGGAATACGTATTCCTATTGGATTGGGAATGAAAAGTTCCAGAATGGTTTGGGATATCGCACTCGAAAAGAACGAAGTGAGATCGCACGATCTATTCTCAAATGCCTAAATTCTTCTATGCGCACACAAGAACAAATATTGAGAGATCAAAAACATTTAGAAAATATTGTTGAATTTTTGGCAACGACACAAATCGCCGAATCAAATCATGGCAATAGAAATTATGCCAAAGCAAGAACTATAGGGATGAACAAATTGGCACGTAGCCTCCTTCGTTCAATCGGAGAAGAAAAAACAAATTTTAAAGATGCCTTTATATGGAAAACCGAAAATCCTTATAGCTATCCACCAGTTGGTGACGGTGGCGCTGACAGAGCAAGACACGCTATGTGCAGTGTTACAAGGTTTGGTGCAAGATGTGATAATATGAGTGACGACAGCGATAGTGAAGACGGTGAGTAGAGCATTGTATTTTGATGTATGACATTTTATTCCCCTCTTTTGCTTTCTTTTATTTTTTTGCATGAAATTTCATTCAAATAAGTATTACTTTAATTTTAAATTAATTTGCTGTTAATAATTTATTTAAATTTGAATTGTGACGTGAGGGATCTCGATGAGATATTTCATCAGACATTAAAACTAAGACAAATGTATATGAGATCAAACAAAATCCTTCTTTTCTCCATTATTAGTCATACTTTTGATAGTAATACGGGACAGAGATGCACGGGGCATTGATTTTTCATGCCCCGCGGGGCCCGCTCCGTAGAATTCACAAACTCGTCCCGCCCGAACCCCGTAGATTTTCTTAATGAGAATCCCCGCCCCGCCTGTGCCCCGGCAAATCTATACCCGCCCCGCCCGTACCCCGTACAGGCAGCTTCTTGGACCGCCCCGTCCGCCCCGCCAATTTAGTGACGGGCCCCGACCCGCCCCCGTGTAACCCGAAGAAATTTTTTATTTACCAAATACTTTATTTTTAATGATGCATTCCTTTTATGAATAATCAGTTTTTACAAAAACAAAACTTAAGTATATATAAGATGGTTTTGAATGATTCACTTTATGATTGTCGACAAGCACGTATTTTTCTAGTTGTTCTTTTAAAAACATTTTTATATTTAACAAATTATATTTAATATTACTCGATAAGCAATGACTGAGAGCTGAAGAAATAATTGTAGATGAATGATTAGTATTCGACGAAGCTGTCCTATCAAGTGATTCATCAGGAGATAAATCATGTAATTCGATCATACTTAGGTCTGACCAAAATTTCTGGCAACATTATATAAAAATATAAAAATAAGGCGGTATCTTTAATTTTATTTTATCAAATATTGAAGACAGTTGCCATGATTATTTATACCAAATTCGATTCTTTCAAACAATTTGTTAAAAGTTTTTTTCGAAAAAAATTTTAGATATCTTAGATATCGCATGAGCTTATCATGTTTCATTTATATAATCAATTAAACTACATTTGGTAGAATTAGTTAGCGAAAAGTTACATAGTATCAGGCCTGGCGAATACGATAGATATGATATTATACTGATGCCTTCTTCTATCATGCAATTAATAAAATTAGATGAGTATGAAGTCAACGATGACCGTCAAGCAATTTTGTACATTTTGAACCTGATGTCTCTGTTTGTTTCCATATTTCATTAATAAAAGATTTTGGAGAATTTTCAGCATAATACTTGTGACTTACAGTCTTGCCTTTATCTACACTCAGAAGTATTTGATTTAAAGAATATATCAAACAAAGCATTTTTAAAAATCTTTATTCATGAACAATAGTCTTTGACGATTCATCTTCAATAAGCCAGCCAGCATCGGATAACTTATGACTAACCTATCTAAAATAAATCTATATCTCATCACGAGCAGTACTAGAATGCAACTGACATGATCGAACAAGGTTTTGCTAACATTTCACAATAAATGAAATATGATTAGCTCATGCAGTATCTATGATACCTAAAAATTTTTTCGAAAAAGCTTCAAAAAAATTTTAACCAATCGTTGGAAAGGATCAAACTTGGTATTAATAATCATGGCAACTGTCCTCAAAATTTGATAAAATAAAATTAAAGATACCTCCGTATCTTTATATTTTTATTTAATGTTGTCAGAACTTTTGGTCAGACCTAAGTAGTAATTTACAAAAAAATTCAAACGATAATTCTAAATATAAAATAAGTTTTAGTCCAGCTATTCACTTAATATAAATTGATAGTAGAAGTTACGTATGACATACGATAAAGAAAGAAAGAAGCAAATGGTAGACAAGCTTGTACATAATAGGATGAAAGTAATGAACCAATCAATATGTACTTTGTACTACATACCTACACTAACGACATCTCTTGATAAATTTTGACGGTCCTTCATCACACCCGAAAAAAAATGATTACCCGTCCGAACCCGTGACTTTCATACCCGCCCCGCCCGAGACCCGTATTTTTTAAAAAAATTATTCCCCGCCCCGCCCGCCCGTGGGCCGGAAAATACCCGTGCCCCGTTAACCCCGTATTTAATTAAACTTTTCTTCCCCGCCCGCCCGTCGCCACGTGGCCCCGCGGGGCCCGCGGGGTGAACCCCGTGGACCGTGCATCTCTGATACGGGAAAAGGATTCGATCCTGATCTAATGTCCCCGCCAGCATTAAAGAGGGGTTGGTGTAAATTGAATAACTGAACAAGGGCAAGAGCTAGCGATCTATGGTTTTCACGAATCGAAAGAGGGAACCGGGGGACATATTTTGTCACGATATTGTTTCGGACAAAATTGTTTTAGATAGAGTTATTTTTGTAAATGTTTTCTGAGAAGACGTACAGAGGGTATGCCAATACAAGGAATTTTTATTTTGATATTCTCATTAGATAGAGGGACTTCAGAGCTACAGCTCAAGATACAATGCGCTTTCTTACTTTTCATTACATTTTCATCGAAATGTCAAGCTATTGCGATAAAAAGTGCGAAAACAGTAAAAAATCAGCAAAATTCCCTATTTTTTGCGCATGTAAATACATGATTCCATTTGCTCAACATTAGAATGTATAAGGGTGTGGGTGGGTGTGGG